GGCTGCAACACGGGGCCGCGGGCCTTCCCGCGCCGCCGTCGCTCATACCTCCAGACACCGAGGCACGCCATCACCTTTGCCTTCTAGGCGTCAGCCACCTTCTCCAGCGTCCTCCTACGCTTCAGCCCTCTCCTCCACCCAGCTGCGGAAAAACGGACCGTGACTGGACTACGCCAGGTGCTCATTAGCTCCGGCGTCAACGTCCCACGACGATCGGCCAAGGCAGATCTCCTCGCCCTCTATACTTCCCTCCAAACAGGGGCGCCTCCAAGCTCTACTCCTCCATCCAAGGCCGCGGATAAAGCGAGCCAGGGCCGCAGCGTTCCATTCTCACGGCCCGAGCTAACCACCACCACTTCGAAGACGGGCTTCCGGCCGTTAGGCCGCAGCAAAAAGCCTTCAGCAAGCCTGGGCCGCGCCCCGGATGCCGCCAGCCCCAGACCCCCTTCTCCATCCACCGAGCGTCAGATCGCATCTCATCTCGGCGAAGTGCCAGCTCCAGTCTCCACAAGCCGCCATGTCAGCGTGAGCACGCCTCTGCTAGCGGCGCAGACCTGCCTCACACCTCGCCTCACACCTCTCCGTACCCTCTTCCCTACCCATGGCCCGCAACCCCACCGTCCATCTCCAGCACGAGCGTGCCTCCACTAATGGCGCAGGCCCCGACGCCCGCCATTCCCCCTCTCTTTTTTCCTCCTTTTTCTTCCGCTCCCGGAACTGTCCCTAGCGCGAGCATGCCTCCGCTAATGGCGCAGGCCCTGACGCCCGCCGTTTCCCCCCACAGATCTTGGCAGGTGCGGACGTAGATCTTTTTTCCCTTTTGTCACCAATTTCACCTTCGTCTGCAGATCGCCAAATCGACTGCGGCGGATTTTCTGTCACTTTAAAAAAAACACAGCTCACAACCCATCACGTATTTTATCATTTGCCGAATTCACGATCGCTTTCACCCGTTACATAGAAGTCATCTGCACTGTTTTTCCTCACAGGAGACGCGAGCTCGTCGATTATCTCGCGATAGTCACCGAACTCACGTTATCATACGGCGGCTCTCACTTTTACACCTACCACAAACTATTTGCAGCTAAATGCGCCATCCGAGTGGCCCAGTGGAACCAATGTCCTTACTGGGGGGCTTTGGACACCGAACTCCATAACAGAGTATTTTTAGGCTGCCACAACATATCTTGCGCTGTCTGCCGATCCGTCGCCCACTCCACCATTACATGCCCTCTAATCAACCCATCTATTCCCCCCTGCCCCGAGCCATCCCAGCCCAAATCCACCAGCTATGTCCCGCGTCTCCTAGACATCCCAACCACCCCCTTTCCCCCCACTTCCACCTACCGCCGCCGCTCAGCTCCCTCTGATAGCCAGGTCTGCGCCAGTTT